GTCCCCGTCGTTAGTTTGTCTTCAGTGCCTCTATTTCGTTCGTCTTATGCGTTAGCCTGTTTCTTTCGCGAACTTACCTCGGGGTGCGTTTGCGGATCTCGTTCCATTGGCGACCACTCGCCCCGATCAGATGGCACAGTCAAACGTCCACGTGTCAGTTCCTGAACAAGCGTGTGCACGCTGATGGATGCGAGGCTCTATGCGGCAGCAGAATGGATGTTAGGCTCCAATATAGCTCCGCACCCATCAGCGTGGCCACGCATGTTCAGGACATGACATGCGGACGTGTGAGTGTGCCATCTGATCGGGGCGAGATGAAGGAGTTTCCGGAGCAAGAATGCATGCRTTTCATTGGCGATCACTYGCACCGATCARATGRCACACTCAGACGTCCACGTGTCACGTCCTGAACAAGCGTGGCCACGCTGATGGATGCGGGGCTCAATGCGACAAAGGGGCTCTATGCGGCAGCAGAATGAATGCGAGGCTCCAATATGGCCCCGCGTCCATCAGCGTGGCCACGCATGTTCAGGACATGACATGCGGACGTGTGAGTATGCCATCTGATCGGGGAGAGATGAAGGAGTTTCGGGCGAGATGAGTGTCCTCCACATTTTTTCAAAATTTTCGCCAGTCTTCCTCTCGCCGGCACAAACAATTTTTTCTTAAATTTCTTTCGTGCCGTTTTATTAACGGGTCACATTGCGAATTCCGAAATGGACAACACCATCCACAGGATCTGTACATGGAGAGACAGAGAGTTAAAGACAGGCTCTCTCGCTGCGCATCCTCTCCTTGTCGACGTCTCTATCGATCTTAGTCTCCCTTCCGTGTCTATGCGGGTTTTCTGCCTTTCTCCAATCCTTGTGTATCGCAGACAGTCGCTCAACCGATCTCAGGTTGGTCCCCCCCATGAGTGCAATCACAGATCAGTAATTCGAAGACGGCTATGACCAATTCGAAGACACAGGAGGCGAACGTGAATTCAAATCTTTAAACCCTATCAAACCTCGCATCAGCTGAACGCCGCGAGGAACCCTTCCGCTGACTTGGACACAGGACATGACACAGAGTGATCAGATGCTCAAAGGGTATTGTCGACGGCGATATGTTTGACCAACCAGGAGGACGTCAGCCCACCCTTTCCATACCATCTTGTGGTGGCGCAACAACTGGGCCACCCTTGGTAATTTCAGTTGCATCCAAGTCACAACCCACTAAAACTCACGGGGCGACCACTAACCGAGGCAACCCGGCGAAGTTCGGATTAATCCGAACCACACTAACGGCATATTCGGATTTGTCACATGCACAAACGGTATTTACGACGCCGAACGTTCCGATAACTGTGAACGACGAAGTCACACGCTGTCAAAAGACCGTTCCGTCTCGGATAAATCCGAACCACACCTCCGACAGGATAGGGTCCACCCTCTGCTCACAGGTCATTGAGGAAAACACGCCGTGCCGATGTCCTCCTCTAGTGGTCGGCCTAATTCGGATGCATCCGAGTCACAACATCGGTCTTTCGACTCTGCCCAGTTCGGATGTGTCCGAACTACCACGCTGTCTTCGTCTTCGACCATTCGCTCTAAGAAGGGCAGTCTGATGACGAGGGTCAACGATGCCTCGGATTCATGCAACTAAAACGAGTCAAGATGGTTACGCTCGGTGGAAGAAAGACGAGCTAGAAACTTGTGTTGCGACTACAGCAAACGTGTCTGTTGTTTGGATTGGGCGAGCAACAACCAACTAAAACTCACGACGACGAAGATATCCCCCGTGATGACGCACAGATTAGAATGACACACTACGGCAATCGCGGGGAGGTCCGGGGGCTACAACAAAGCGAAGCGCCTCGGCGAAGTTGGATTAATCCGAACCACATGCGCAGAGGGTATTGACGACGTCGCACGGTCTGATAAACTTGTACGTCGAAAGCACACGGTGTCGGCGCAGCCTGTCGTGGTCGCACGTATCGGGACAGCCTCTGTCGAAATCGGATGAATCTGAGCCATACCTGGCTTAAACACTCATGGACGAAGACACACCGTGCGAAATTCGGTTGGACCCGACAACAGCTGGGGAATAACGGAAGCTTGGATGGCTGGATGGGCGTCAAAAGACCGTGGGGTCCATCCGCCGGTCCCCGTCTCGGATTAATCCGAGCCACATTTGCGAGGTTCAGGTTCAACCGAACCGAACCTCCGGCAGGATAGGGTTAACCCAGTGCTCGCAGACGAAAACACGTGTTGTAGATGACCTCTTGTGGACGACCGTCTCTGGACCGCGCTGTTCGAATTCGGATGCATCCGAGTCACAACCGTTACGGACTCAGAAGGACAAGAAAACTCGAGTTCGGTTTCGTACGGGCCGACAGGGGGAGGTCCACACCGCTTTGGAGCTCGGATTCATCCGAACTACAACGGCGGACTTCACAATCCACTTGTTGACTTCGGATGACAACGTATTCGTCTTCGTCTGCCGTATCAGCATTCTAGGGCCTTCTTGCGAGGTGTTGCTTTTCCCGGTGCAGGTGCCTATGCGACATCGGTTTTTCGACTGCGCCTGCTTCGGATGAATCCGATCTATCCCACGGTCTTGGTTTTCGACCATTCATTCTCTTAAGGGCAGTGTGACGAGGATGGCTCACGATGCCTCGGATTCATCCGAAACCACGCTGTTCGAATTCGGATGCATCCGAGTCACAACTGTTACCGACTCAGAAGGACAAGAAAACTCGAGTTCGGTTTCGTACGGGCCGACAGGGGGAGGTCCACACCGCTTTGTGGCTCGGATTCATCCGAACTAAAACGGCGGACCTTACAATCCACTTGTCGACTTCGGATGACAACGCATTCGTCTTCGCCTGCCGTATCAGCGTTCTAGCGCCTTCTTGCGAGGTGTTGCTTTTCCCGGTGCAGGTGCCTATGCGACATCCGTTTTTCGACTGCGCCTGCTTCGGATGAATCCGATCTATCCCACAGTCTTGGTTTTCGACCATTCATTCTCTTAAGGGCAGTGTGACGAGGATGGCTCACGATGCCTCGGATTCATCCGAAACCGCGTTGTTCGAATTCGGATGCATCCGAGTCCGAACCGTTACCGACTCAGAAGGACAAGAAAACTCGAGTTCGGTTTCGTACAGGCCGACAGGGGGAGGTCCACACCGCTTTGTAGCTCGGATTCATCCGAACTACAACGGCGGACTTTACAATCCACTTGTCGACTTCGGATGACAACGAATTCGTCTTCGTCTGCCGTATCAGCGTTCTAGGGCCTTCTTGCGAGGTGTTGCTTTTCCCAGTGCACGTGCCTATGCGACATCGGTTTTTCGACTGCGCCTGCTTCGGATGAATCCGATCTACCCCACGGTCTTCGTTTTCGACCATTCATTCTCTTAAGGGCAGTGTGACGAGGATGGCTCACGATGCCTCGGATTCATCCGAAACGTCCAGGCTTGTGGACCACTGTCGTCTAACTATGACTGAACTTCGTTCTTTTGGAGTCCGGGTGACCAATGACAGAATACGTGCTGTGGCTCGTGGTTGATGTTGGGACGTGCTGACTGTTCTGAGTGCATGTGGGTTCATTTCCTCCGTGTGTTTCAGGGAATGGCTACACACGGACGAAGCCGCTCCGCTGGTGGTTTCGCCCCGCACGGAGAGGAGCGTCGAGGGACGACGTCGTCGCCGGCAAGGGAAACGAGTCGGGGAGTTGAAGGTTGGAAGGAAGAACGACGTGCTCAAAACTTGTGGTGCGACTACAACAAACGTGTCTGGTATTTGGACTGGGCGAGCCAGGACGGCTCCCACCCGTTGCAACCATCGTGCGGGCCGCTCTTGTTCGTCGCCGTTCGCGCCGACAGAACGCGTCTCGCAGAGTCCATCGTCTAGTGGGTCGACGATGGGGAATTCAATTTCAAGTTTACGTTGAAGAAGCATTACAGAAGTGATGGTTCTGTCGACGGCATCGCAAAGGGATGCAAGGTTGCCGGGAGGATGTTCGGCGGGTACGGCCGTCGTGCGATGTCTTTGCCTCACTTTCTCCTGCTAGCGCCGGGGCACGACGAGGCCGTTCACGTCACAGACTTCCTCGAGGTCTGGGCGAAATCTGGTACCTCTGTCAGTGCCATGGACGTCGGACCTGGAACATCGATCAGTGGTCCTGTTGGGTTCGCGGGAGGAGAGTGCTCTGAAAGGGAGATGGGAGGTCAGGGCGGCCTGCCAGCTACGCCTCCTGATCAAGAGGTGGGCATGCCAGACGACTCGGAGGACGACCATCCGCGTGCTCCTTTGAAACCGGGCTTGCATGTATCTCGCCGCCACGGTTTGCTTGGGGAGTCGACGCCACATGGAGGCGGCGATGGCGAACGGTTGCGACAGGGCTCAGAATCGACGACTCCTCCGCCACGGTTTGAAACCGGGCTTGCATGTATCTCGACGCCACAAGGATTGGTTCGTTCGTTCGTGGCATGCAGGTGGCCGAGGTTTCGCCTGGAGATCGAGCGGGTGGTCCGCAGGTTCGAGAGGTGCGTGGGTCAGATGAGACGACTCGCCGGGCCCGACCAGCGCCCGGGGAACTACAGACGGAGTTGAGCCAGGAATGAGAAGCAAGTGGGAACGTCGCCGGTGAGGAGGAGGTGTCCGATCAAGGGCTGTTCGGTGAGAGATCGGCTGAAAAAACTCAGTCGGGAGGCAAGCGCAACTTGCCGGATGAGGAAGAGCGAGAGGGACTAGGTGCTCTGAAAAGGCAGAGAAAGGCAGGAGGGAGTGCTCGGACGCCAACAACACGAGAGGGCGGTTCCGTTGAGAAGAGGAAAAGGGTTGGAGGTGGGGATGAAACGCTAAAAGACTTGTCGACACAACGAAGAACCGGTGAGTCTTCTGAGAAAAGGGCAAAATCATCGAGGGGGAAGAAAGCAGACGAGGGCGACAGCGGGGAGGGGGATGATGACCTGGAGATTAACCTCAACGCCTTTAACCTCAATAATGCGTTCTTCCTCGAGATGCAGACAGGGGTGCAGAAGGACGTCGTGTTGCACATCCACCCCGAAAGAATTTTAGCTATTCCAGACTGGGAAGACGCGTACAACCACCGATCCTTGGATGAGTTCCTCGTTGATACCATCGCGTCGGCTATGATCGATTGCTACGAAAGTAAAGACATGAGATACACGAAGCCCATTTTCGTTCTCGCTCCGAATGTCGCGCCTCCAGAGAACGGCGAGCCTGCTGTGCGCGTGCTGGAGAAAACTTTCTACATCAAAGTTTCGGAGCCGGATGTCCACTGCTGGAAGGAATTGGTGGACTTGACGGACCGCGAGAAGAAAAGGCTGTTGAACGGCGTCTTGAACCTTAACGTCGTGTGGGTTCAAACGAGTAGCAAAAAGTTGGCCGAGCAGGGGAAGTTCAGTGTCAAGGAGATGGTCGACATAATAAAAATGGACCGGATTATGCTGAGGATGTGGAACTACGTGGAGTTCGAGTACGAGAAAATGGATAAGCGGGAGGGGAATGCCAACTCCACGTTCTTCAGGTCCAAGAAGCAACTGTTCGAAGAGTTCAAGGACAGAGGTCTCGACGACAAGCTTTGGAACGAGAGCAGAAAATTTTTCACGGACACCACTTACGTCAACAAGTGCCCTCAGTTTCTCAGGTGTCATCACGACAACAACATCAAGAGAACGGCGACCCTCGTCAACGACCAGCATTTCCCGGCGGAGTGGAAGCGTGTCGTCCTTTCGGTGATCACTGGAGATCGCGCCAAAGGCAAAAAAAACCCTCGGGGCATTGATGAATGCATCAACATTATGTGGACAAGGACAAGCGCCTTGACGACGCGGGTCCAGTTTAACGTCGACCCATTGACTGCCACAGATCATAAGGCCGCGCTGGGAAAACTAGGGCATCAGCTACGCTCCCACACTTGCGTGCTCGGCTTGTGTGGAACTGTTGACCGTGTGCAATGAGACTCTGGGGCATTCGCGTCTCTGAGTGAGTTGCTGGGCTTCGTTTGTCAGGACTACTGGACATTGGTGGTATTCGTCCCCTGCCTGTGGAACCTCTCCTTCATGACATGTTTGTCTGCGCTTGGGGATACCCAATGCTACACGGGGAAGTGGGTTCGAAAGACGGCATTGAAGAAGACGCATCAGTTCGGAAACAGCGTCTGGGAGGAGCCGGATGTGATGCACATCCTTTTCAAAGGCGAGGATCCTCGGCTACTGACTCACCCGGTGTACGAGGGAGCTGTTGCTGAAGACGACGACGCCGCTCTCCGGAGGAAACAAAAAGTGACACCCACGGATGTGGAGGAGAAGTCTTTCAAGTCTTTGACTTTCGCGGACATCGGAAACCTGACCC